GTTCAGTTTCCTCTCGTCAAATTCTGTTTTTTAAATTGTACTCCAGGTTGTAGTCTTTCAAGATTAGATGTAATTTGAATTGAAGCTAGTGTTTTAGCATTAGCTTCTGCTAAATACCATGCTAGCATAGTCCTTTGTCATTAGCTTCCAGTAAATACCACATTGGTGTAGCACTTCAGCATTGGCTTCTTCTAAATGTCATATTACTACAGCACTTTAGCATGAACTTCCACTAAATATTATGTTGGTGAGGTGCTTTAGCATTAGCTTCTGCTAAATATCATGTTGGTGAGGTGCTTTAGCATTAGCTTCTGCTAAATATCATGTTGGTGAGGTGCTTTAGCATTAGCTTCTGCTAAATATCATGTTGGTGAGGTGCTTTAACATTATCCTCTGCTAAAAAACGAAACTGGGCACAGCACCCAAGCTGTTTGCGGTCCAGAGTGAAGTTTCGCTTCCCTCTGCTAACAATCTTTTTGCAGATGCTAATTTGTACCAAAGATGCCAATCAGTGACCGTGGTTTCCCCATTAGCTGATCCCCTCCATTCCATGCTGCATTGATTAATTTATGCAAAAGTATTACAAAACATGCAGATACCGTACAGTACAAAGACATCTGTATCCTTAAAATTTTCTTTGGTTTTTATCCAGTATTCTGAGCAACTGAATTATGGGTTTTTTATTTGGGATAAGACTCTAAAGAAACCACTAAACAAAACACTTTCATGCCTCTGATGAGCAATAACTTTTCTGCAGATGTGACTTTACTCCATTTTCCTCCATGTGTTGAGCTGCCAAAGTGGCTCCTGGAGTATTAATGATCCTCACGGACAGGAAGTTAGTTTTGTCTAGTTAGGGGATTTTCTGTTTGTACAGAGAGAATAATAATCCCAGAAGTTCAGCATCTCTCACCTAGAACATCATAAGCACCCAGCTGTTTCTGTGCGAGGGCAAAGCTGCAGCTATAGGAGGGTTAGAAATGAGAGATTTGCTCAATTAAGCAATATAGCCCAGCTGAGGACGGCACCTGTGCACATTGGAGTCCTGCTTTCTTTCTGCAGATAACATGGCCGATTACCCTCTGAAGCATTCAGCCACTGAAAGCTGGTGCATCTCCTACCTGGTGCAGCTTCTCACGCAGCCACATTGTGCTTAATTGCTCTCAGGGTGTTAATGTGCACTTGTGTTTGGAGTGTTTAATTTTCGCCCGCCTGGTGTAACGACGAGCGGCTCGCACTCTGCCGGTTTCTAACAGTTGGACGAAATCACAGACGCGGTGGAAAACTGCGAGCGCAGGGAAGCGGCTCCTGCTGTTTGCGGTACGAGACGGCGGGTTAAATTACCTGTTTACATGCAGTGGTGTGTTAACCAGCAGGCCTGAAACTGCTGGGAATACTCCGGATTTGTCTTCTGTTGTTTGTAGAGGAGGTTTGGACCAGTTTCATGAATCCCTCTTGAAGCGAATGATGCATTTAACTGCAGCAGCATTAGAATCCAGAGGCCAACAGGAATGTCTGGACTGAATCTTTAGGGTAGAAGCTACAAAATCTCCAAGTAGTAGAAGAAGTCCCTGTTTCTACTCTGAAAGGTTGTTTTCAGAAGGTGTTTGGGGCTGTTATGCCTCATGTCCGCTGAGGGTTTTATGGTCCAGCCTACTCCACCGACAGCTGGACTCTCATTGGTCAAACACCCTAACGTTGTGTTATACTGGTACAGCAAATATGACTTACTAGTTTGTCTCATGAGACTTTTTGTTTAGCAATGAATCAAAGTTGAGTGATGCCATAAGCTACACACATGAGGGTATTTCACCATGAGTTGGACTCTCACTGGGCAGATAGGGTTAAACCCAAATGCATATTGTTGTGTCTTACCAGCATGATGACAAATGTGATGTATTAGTATGTCTTGTTTTTTTTTCTGTTGCCCAACCAATGGACAGTGTTGTGTAAAGCCATCAGCTTGCCATACCATTGTCCATTTGGTGGACCTGGCGCAGGAATGGTGCCGTTTGGGTTGGTCTGGTACCCGACTTTATGGTTCAGCATTTACACTAACTGTTGGTCAGTCGCTGGGCAGAAAGGCTTAAAATCAAACGCCTGGTACTAGTGTGAAGACAAATGTGACGTACTGATATGGCTTGGGACATTTTTATGTCTTTTCCCCAATCCAACACAACAGCATACAATCAGTGGACTGTGTTGTGTGACGCCTTTAACTACACCCTCACTGCGCCGTTGTTCATATGGACCTACAACTGAAGGTCGGCCCTGGAATGGTGCATCAAGCACCTACACCAACTCTAACTTTGTGTCACACTAGTGCCATGACATTGAACTGATGTCCCCAGCTTTTCTTTTGAGCCTTTTTTCCTCTACTGGGGTTGTTGAGTCTGGAACTAGTTTGGAAAAGTATTCATATTTTCTCCAGTTTTCCTCAGTTCAATTAGTAAAAGTCTTTCCTTAGCATGTCCAGCCACCAGTTCCTCTATCCAGCTTTCCATCAGTATGTCATCAATCAATCCATCTGTCCATTTATCTGTCCGTTTATCAATCTATGTCCATCAATGTGTCTGACTGTCTGTCAGTCCATCTGTCATCCTGTAATGTCTACTGATCACTTGGTCCATCTGTCTGGTTGTTCCTAGATGGACAGAGCAACTAATGAATGGACATGCTGTCTGTCCATTTGTTTTGTCCAGCTACCAGTCTCTCTCTGTCCATCACTAAGTCCAGTTGTCCGTTTTTCCATCAGTATATCAAATAGTCAATCTACCAACCCTTCTATCAGTATGTCCATTCAGCTCATTGAACTTTGTATGAATCTGTAGTTTATGATTGGACAGAAATCAGATTCCTGTAGTTTTAAAACAAATTATCAAACACATCATGAAATATTTCATTCCACTGTTTAGGTCCATCTACATTCAGTTTCTGCTAATTTGACATAAGATTTATTTGTGGCCATGATCAAAAGGTTGAGGATGACATTTTGGAGAAACATAAGTTCATTCTGTCCCAAACGTTGCTTTTTAAGACGCATTATAATTAAAAATCCATTGTTTCAAATGAAAAACGTGAAACATAAAGGCCTACTTCCTCTTCTGCACGTTCATCTGTCGTTTCTACAGTATGTTTTCGGCTCAGATGGTGGAAAGCACTGATCTTTCTCTGCAGCATGGTTGGGATCTACTCCCCAACAAATAAAAACAGACAATTTCAACTGGCAACATTGCCCCAAGACGGAGGGAGAAAAGTTGCTGAGCAGATGTCGGTTGTTGTGTTCCTCTCTGCGGTTTTCCTTTGCCCATGCGTGGATCTTCTATCAAAGAGGGCTTATCCGAATAAAGTGCTTAAAAGCTTTTCTGACGCCTGGTGATGTGAACGCTCCTTGGCTTGATCTGCAGACTAAACAAACCGTAATGATGCAAGCTTGTGGAAAGATGCACACAGCAGTCGAACAACAAATGCCCTCGCTTGATGTTTTTATTAATGTTTTCTCTTCGTCTTTTCATCACGCTTTTTCATCTCTCCTCTCCGCTGCACTGGATTCGACTTTGTGTTTGTTCCTGCGGAGGTGCAGAGGAACACCACGGTTTTTAAATTCATGCAGGAAAACGGAGAAGAACGTGTCATCCGCCGCCTTGCCCCGCAAATTTCCCTCGGGACGGCAGAGACATAATCAAAAATATTCAAATACTCTCCAGTCAGTGTGAGGAGAAACAACAATCCTGCCGGAAAAGGTGTATTTTCCAGCTTAATAATAAGCCGAGGCGGCAGCAGCATTAAGTTTTTAACACTCTCTGTTTTGTAACAAGGTTGAATTTGGGGAGAAAGTTCGGCGCCGTACTCCTAAGACCTGCCGGTCTCATTTCAATGCCGAGAAGAAGGAGCGTCTGAAGTCGCGACTTCTGGCTCGCGAGGAAGACGTGGAGAGATCCGCTCGCTGAAGCCAATCAAAAGACCTGAATTCTATTTGTTTTGTTTCAAGGGAAGACGACAAAGGGGGCCTCAAGGTCTTCTTCAAGATGGCTCTGAAGCCTGAGACGGGCAGCAGTGGTGGGGGGGAGACGGCGGGAGGACCAAAGCTTTCAAGTGTCCGTCCTTGGTGGGACCTTTGCCGTGGTGCCAGGTACACAGCTTTTAGGACGAGGGATTGCGGAGGCGGCGGCGGGTGTTTCATGTCGGTGCGTGGTTGGGAGTTATTAATATTCTCAAAGACGGGAGTTTTCTCCCCCGGATTGAAATAATGGATCATACTTAAAAGGGGAAGAACTCATTTCAGGTTTTAATACGGTAAGCCTGTTGGAACCAATTATTGGAGGTGCTTTGCCATTGTCATCTTGCATTTCTCCTTGAGGAGATTAACTGGCAGCGCTGAAAAGGCCCCACAGTATCCGGGATTTCTCTCATTCCCAGAATCTGCCTGAACAGAAATCATTTTTTTGATTTCTTCATGAGAGCGAGCGGCTGTGTGTGTGTGTCAACTTCCAACGTGTTTCACGTATTTTGGCTTCATGTTCTACCTAATTATTGCAACTTGATCCTAAAGCAGGAGTGTCCTAATCCTCTGCTGTACAGCAGAAAGCCTGCTTCAGAAAGTTTTGGTGGGGAATTTGGCCTGTTTTTAATAGACCGGGAGAGGAACTGTGTGTCGGCAGAAGGACGGGCCTCTCTGGGAGCCTCCTCTTTGTTTCTTCATATGCTAATTCTCGCGCTGAGACGGCGGAGGAAACTCAGAGAAAGTTGGAGGAAGTTGTGTGATGAGAAGGAAAGCAGAGGAGTCTTGTTTCCTGACTGGTCCCTGAACGAGTAGAAAAGAGGAACTGGAGCTCCAACTGTACAGTTTTTACTCCAGAAACATAACTTTAACACACCAATTAAACTCAGAAATGTGAAATTTGGTCATTATGTTTTGGTTGCTCATCATTGTGAGAAAAAGATACAACATTTTAGGGCATTTTTCACTTTAGTTACATCCATCTATCCATCTGTAACAGATCCAGAAGGGAAACCCTGACATTCCCCTGGATGAACACAGTCTCCAACTCATGCTGAGGGTTCCCAAGGTGTTAATAGTTCCTCCAGGAGGTTCTGGGGTCTCCTACATAAGGGCTGTACCCAGAAAACATCACAAGAAACTCATTCAGGGTGCGTCCTGTTCATCCATCCACCTCCTGCTTCATCCAACCATCACTCCTGAACAAGACACCAAGATATTTGAATGCCTCGAGGAAGAAATCTACTTCAGTCTGGTGACGAACCGTGGAAACAACAACCCTTACTAACCAAAGACCTTCCTCTCAACGACGACGCGTGGAGATCATGACCAAATGAGATTGTTACTGAGTGGCTGGTGGAGTTCAACCCAAACTGGGAACATTTCCTTAACAGGACAATTTGGTAATTGTACAGTTGGGACACCCGAGTGTCCCAACTGTAACACAGTCACAAGTCTTCTCTAGTGCCACACAACACATTTGGACCAAAGCTATCAACTCCTTTTGACCAATTATTCCTACATTTTTTTTTTTATTTAGTTTTAGAAATAATGGTTAAAATAATGGAATAATGGTTAAAATCAGTCATATGTGCCCCAGTCTGTTTGATATGGATCAAATTAAAACCAATATGATCTTGTGTTGACGTCTTTGGTTGGATATCAATAAAGTTTTTGTGAGTGAAACTGATTTAAACTCTTTTTAACCACATTTAGAGATTGAATGACGTCTTCCTATAATCAGGAAGTAAACATCTTTTCCACATGTTGAATCGGCTCTTACTTCCTGTTTAGAAATCTTTATTAGAGTAATATTCATATTTGTATTGACTTGGTGGAGTTGTGGTGTTCCACAGGGATGAGTTCTCGGTCCCTTTCTTTTTTATGTTTAGATATTCTCCTATTCAAAACCAAAACATATTTCACTGTTACTTGACAAATTGATCAATTGACTCTTTATCTAGGCAACTTTAAAAAGTCATTTGAACTTTAAAACAATGTATATAATCTAAGCAATTTTCTATAAAAGTCTTCCTTTTTTATGCTTTTGTAAAGCACTCAGTAGGTTAGAAAGTGCTCTGCTGACAATATTTCATGTTTATTAACTCAGCTGACATGTTATTCCCTTGGACAGAACAGCCTGAACCTCCCTGCAGAACCTGCCTCTTTTGTTATCTCCCGATTCCTTACCTCCCTCCCTCCCTCCACCCCACCAGTACCAGGAGTGAGCAGCATTCTCGGATCATTACTCCTCAAAGAAATTTAAGCGAGGGACGCCATTTAATTTTTTTCTCCTGCCCAAATGCAGTCAGTCATTAGAAATCCTAGCTGTCATGGCGGTGCCATTTTTGGTGCGGGGTGTGTTTGTTGCCTCATTTCTTTTAATTTTATCTCCATTAGCTTAATTCTTTTTTAATATTTCCATCTAACGAACTTTACAGTCCATTTTGTCTCAGTGTCTTGCTAAGCGAGTTTTATGAAGCAGGCAGTTGGCTTTTCCATTTGAGAGCGGCTGAGGAGGAGGGGGAGAGGAGGGAAGGGGTGCCCCGGTGCCTTTGTCAGCTTATTTTTGGCACCTTAGCAAGCAGTTCTGCTTCTTCGCCTTGATTATACAAGCAAACAACTGCATGAAGTTCATTAACAATAAAGCACAGGCTAATTAAGCCGAGCCCCTTAGACAAACCAGAGCTGTCATCCCGCATGTGTTCGGAGCCGATTGAGCTGTTAAAGATTTACCTTCACTTGTCTTTTACTCCTCCGTTTCCTCACAAAGGCCCTCGCTGATTCGTCTCGGAGGGCTTTTAACCTCAGCTGCTGCTATTTGGGAGTGGTTTACATCAAGTTACAGCAGCCTGACAAGGATAAAGCAACATTTACTTTCTCTTCGTTCACTTTGTGCAGCGTATATCTGTCCTCTTAACACCGTTAAAACACAATGATCTTGTTGAACCACAGGCCGCGACGTGGCGCCATAAATTACATGTGAATCAGTCCGCCCAGAGGTTGTGAGCTGTGCCATTAGCAAAATGGCCCTCCAACCCTTTGTTAATGTAATTTGCTTAATTGCTCCCTATCGGTACACAGATGAAACGCTTGTCTGCAGAGAGCGTTCAGGACATATTAGGTTTAATATTAGTTTTTTTTTCTAAGGGTTTTATTTTATTAGAACCCAAACAAAACGTTCTGAAACGTCTCTGTAAGCAGACTTTGGTGATAACTGAAGAGTTCTTGATAAAGTGGAAAAGCTCAGTGTGCTGTAACCTTCAGGCTTCCCCTTAGCTGCAGTTTCCTCCTCCTCTTCATCTCTGAAGGCGCCGTTCTACCCCCTCCGGGGTTACGAAAAGCCGCGGTTCCCCACTGCGACGGCTCCTCTTCGGTGTTTAATTACAGGGGAGGTGGAGTGTGCTGTGTCTCCGCCGAGAGGCAGTGAAGAGGTGACCTTAACCTCTGGGATGCATGAGATCAGCGCCTACAGACTGGCTCCGTCTTTGGATGACTCTACCTGCATCACCAGGTGGATTTATCATGGTCCCACGCAGACAGTATGAAAAAATACTTGTATTTACAAACTTTATTCACTGTTTTATGATTTGGTGTATTTTAAGAGTGGATAAAACATTGGGAAAAGCAGCCAAAGTCCAAAGAAACACTTGAAAAGACCTTCAAAATGTGTAAATTACCAATCAAGACTTTGAATATTCAGGTTGGAGAATTGAGGGATGACTGAGAACTTGCTTAATCTAAAAGGAACATTTAGTATTTTGACAGAGTTTTTTTTAAAAAAAAGGTTCAATCTGGACATTTTAATCAGGAAACTGTCATTTAAAAAACATGGTGATTTTACAGCATCAATTACCTTTCACATCTCTTTCCACTCTTCATCGTCTGGCAAATCAACTTTAATGAAATCATTACTTCCACCGTTGTTTTTTCCACCGTTGTTTTTTTGGATAAACATTGACTAAAACTCAAAATTCCCAAATCTGGGGATAGTTTGTAGATTCGTTGAAGCTTTCAGAGGATTTAATGTTATTATATTTTTGGCTCTTTAAATCCTGGGTGATGAATTCAAAGAATCATGGAGCAATTTATTATTGACTACCAATTGGTACCTTCTTTCGTGATGATTAGCGCTCCCTGGGAGTCTATTTGTACCTCCATGTGGAATATATTGCACCCCAGACTTTTGGACCAACCATGAGTTTGGGGTTTCCAGTCATACATGAGCTCCTGCCTTCCTTTGGGATAGTTTGTATCAACCATACATCCAGCTGTACCAGGCTTTGCGATGGTTTGTACCAAACATGAACCATATGTGTAATGGATGTCTTTTCTAATAATGTAAGAAAAGCCAGTTGGTCTTTTTTAACATCGTTGGGGTCACATCATACCAGCCACATGTCATTCGTTTGTGTTTCTAGCGTATTTTATAGTAACCGTCCGTCAAGACGTTCTGGCTTTGGGAAAGTTTTATACTGAAATGCTTCATGTCACATTTGCCTTCAGGAAGTTTTATACTAACAACTTCTCAGTTTGTAATTACCTTGGGGTGTTTCCAACGGACTGGCACACAACTTGTACCCGTCTAGAGAATAGTTCGTATCGGCCAGGAGGGTTTTGTACCAATGGGTTTGTATCTATGATTGGGGTATTCCCAACCAACCGGGGTAGCTTGTGTCAGCAATTCTCAAGTTCCTATATTTGGTGCATTCTGTGCCAACCAGGCATCAGTACTGCCAGGAATACATTTTTATTTACTTTGGGATGTTTTATACTAACAACTTCTCAGTTTGTACCTACCTTTGGGCTTTTTCAACCAAATGGGCCACAGGTCTAAGGGAAACTTCATATCGACCAGGAGGGTTTTGTATCGACCATGCGTCAGTAAAGGTAAGAGTACATTTTAATTTACTTTATGAACTACTTTGGGGCATTTTGTACCAATAACATCTCATTTTATACCTACCTTTTACATATTTCCTTCCATTAAGTTGTACCTGTCTGGTTGATGTTTCCTATCAACCTTTGATATGACATTAGTGAACTGGACCAAATGGGGATTAGAACCAAAAACTTATGAAAATAATATTAAACTGAATCAATCAGATATTTGTGCATTAAGATGGACTGTTGTACCATTAATCTATCAAGTGAACAACCAAGAACTATTCAGATGAATCTTACAAACACTTGACACTCATTGGCCAAATGTTCGAGGCAGCAACAGGACAACCTGGTAGATTCGTTCTTTGTTCAAAAAGAAATGGGTGCACTTTCTTAAAATGTAAAGAGAGCTCATTGCTTGAGGGTCCAATCTACTCTGGAGTGGTTTTATTTCTGTCAAACGTACCACAGGAAGCTGAGCTGATCAAACCCAGAAGTCTCTCTCCAACAAGTGATCCAACCTGAACGGATGCGCCGCTCGCCGGGGGCACGACGTACGAGCCGTCAAACGGAGCGATATGAATCTGCGCCGTAATTCACAGAAAAAGAGATTAGAAGAAGATAATAGTGTCATATCTCAAAAGTTAACAGTGAGGCACGTGTGAACTGTGAATAATCTTATAATTACTGATCTAATGCCATTAAGGCCTGACAGAAATAGAGAAAGCAACGCTTGGATGAGACGCAGTTAATCAACTGTGCGCTCGTCGTTGGATCATCAGCCGGGGCCGCGACTGATGATAGGTATAAGTTTAAATGACAGCTTAAAGGAACATTACGCCGCTCTCGTATTTGGTTAACTTTCCCTTCCAAATGGTGGAAAAACGTGACATCCTTTTAATGTGCCTCTTCTTTATCGCCCCCTCCATTTGTGAGGATCGTCTCTCCTCCCCTTTTCGGCCCGGGGCGATTCTTCTTCAGGGGATATCCCGCGTCTCCTCACCTTGCACGCTCCTCGTTTGATCGCGTTCCTCCTGCGATCCAGGTTGTTCCTGCAAAACGAGAGTCAGACGAGACAAAACCGCGGCGCTGGAGGCGCCCGTCTCTGATTCACGTTGTCGTCTTTCATTGCTCTTTGTGTGGGAGAGAGCGCTGCGACAGAGTGCACACCCAGAGTTTGACAGTTTCAAAGAAAAGATCCACCCTCGGCTTGTCAGCCGCTGTTTGATCTCATCAGTCGCTGATGTTCGGTTTGATGGGGAAGTGTTCTGGTGGAGCCAAGTTTTGTTTTCTTGTTATTCTAGCAGTGATTGTTGGAAGTGTTGTCTATATTTAACCAGTCATGTAGGAAGAGAGGCAGCTAGAAAAGAAATGTAACAGCTGTTTGTGTGTCTTCATCCTGCTTTTCCATTAAGATGAAACTTACATTTAATATACTAAGAACTCAGTTTACAGGATTCTAATGTAAATGTTTTTGTTGAAAATGTGTGTTGTGGTCAGTTTTGTCAAATTATAGCTTTCAAATAATAATAAAAACAAACATTTCATTCTTAAAAGTTGTGTTAAGTTTAGATTTGCCAAATTAAATCTCACTTTTTCCAACTAGCGTTAGTTAACTCTATAGGAATCATTAATACTTTCTACATTTCACTTCTGGTGTCTTACCTGAAATATCCTTGTTTTTTACACTGTTTAAATATGATATTTAATGTCATGGGACAAGATAAAAACTTCTGCTAATGTGCTAATTGCAGAGCTAAGTTTTAATTTAGTGCTTTAGCTAACATTAAAAA